AAAGAAAAGCTTGAAATTTTTTTCATGTTGATAAATTAAAGCACTACAGCTGGATCACGGAAAATGACTAATTAGATGATTAATATTCACTGCAGATAGTATGGCTAGTTAGAGATGTAGTTTTTTTTAAAAATGATCATTTCATTTCTCCAACTACGGCCATCAAAATGTGAAACAATGCTCGCAGAACATTTATATCAAATTCCCTAATTAACCGATGCAAAGCACCAAAACTATTTTATCAAATTATGTGTTTACTTACCTGTTTGGTACACTCGCGGGAGTGCTCAATCAAACATCATTAAGAAGAACGAACTAAGGGCAAGCGCTCCACATAATATTCTGGACTGATTTCCATGTTAAGCTATTTTACAGAAAAGAAAAGTAATTAACAGAGATTTCCTCTGACTGCATGATGTATGATTTTAAGTCTGTTAATTCTGATATAAAAAATTAGTCATTTAGCCGCATGAAGAATGGGAGATAAGTCGTAGGAATGCCTCTACTGAACCTCTGCCTCTAATTTTCATGCATTTGGTTCGTCAACTTACACCCTATAAAACCTTTAAAGGGTTCTTTGATTAAGAAAAACTCCCATCGACAACTATTCGATGAACTTAAGTGTTGCAAGACTGAAGCACTAACAATGGCCTGCACCTTTTCTATCTCTAGCCTATGATTCTAGCCTAAATTACAATGTATTGCGGACTAGTACTAGGATGGGTTTCAAGAGCTTTAGTAAAGTCAGAAACAACTGGGTTTACCCCACGCACATCTCAAACATCTTGTCGACCTATTGTTCAAATGATCGTTGTTTTGAAAATAATGTAGTTGATGCATAAATAACTACAAGATTAAAGAACAACTTCTCTAAAACTTAGCATATCGCAGCTTATCGCTGCTTGTAGCGTAACTATAACTTTACGTCGCCCCGTATACGCTCTTTGGAATGCCGTCGCCGATAGCAGCATTGACATTTGGAAACAACTTACGATGTTCTTCAACGGCAGATAAGCATTTCGGCGCCATACAAGCTGTCAAAAAACACTTGGAATGTGATATGCAAGAAGCCAATAACTTAAAAAATGAGTAGAGTAC